AATATTTTATATATTTAAATTTTTTATCTCGTATTATTAACATAAAGTTAGTATTTTAAAAGAAAAATAATATTGAATCTTTAAAAATCCTGTTCACTCTCTCAATGTGATATCCCATTAAATTATCTCTTGTTTTATACAATAATTTCAACAATACCCCCAGAATTTAAATCTAAATATATCTCATTATTACAACGTTTTATTTGCAACGAGTGCTCTAATACTTTCGTGAGTACATTGTACAATATATAATAAAATATATAAAAGTTCGAATAGCGTGTCTGAAAGAAAGTTTTAACGATAATTTGCGGTCGACGATCGCTCTTTTCGGTAGTAACTTATTTCTTTCGATCACGCCACCAGTTGGATAAAAATAATTTGAGGTCCAGCTTAATTCACTGTAAACTGATAAAAATTGATAAAAAAGAAAACTTTTTGATTTATCTATTTTTATATCATACATTAGCAATAACTAAATATTATTTCGTTGGAATTCATACAGAATTTTCGATTCGGGGAACGCAATAACTTTGAGAGAGATTTTCATTCATGAATTTTTTTTTTTATTAAAAATAGATTTTATATCGTGTATTTTAATAAAAAAAAATCATTATATTATTAATAATTAATCCTATTTCGTTAATCTCAAGAGAAAAGCGAAATTTAGGAAATTTTAATTTAATAATCAGATAAAGAATGAGATTTTTCGATATAAATTTTATAATTGTTGAAAATTATTTGAATATCGAGATAATTTTTATATAATATTTGTTGTCACTTTAACGTTTCGAATTTAGATTTGGCGAATCTAAAAAATACGAGAAAAAATTTTATATATATATATATATTCGTTAACAAAAAAAAAAAAAACGAATTTTCGCCCCGATAAATCCCAATAAAAACGACGAAAGAAACTTAATTAATAATGTAACTGAATTGACGTCCAACTATGATAAAAAATTCAAACACTCATCGTCGAGTTTCATCTTCGATTCCATCGATTTTCCTCTCGCGAGAACTTTGTCCCGAAAGTATCAGACAAGAGCATTGAGATGTTAAGTTTTTTGGCCGAGAAACTTTCGTGCTTGCATATAAAGCGTGACTAATTAAAAATGCATAAAGCATCGCGGTTTATTTTCGTGCATCGCGTATCGAGACGTAGGTGTGTAATTTGGTATTAGTGTATCAGATGCGTTTTACGTGTCAATTTGAAATTCGTGGGTGGTTTCTTCCAATACTCGTCACAGGATCCAATTCCTCTAAGAATTGAAACGATAAAAGGACGTAAAATGTGACAGAAGCGACTTTCGAGAAGAGTTTTGTGTAATAAAAAATATAATTCGATTCAAATACTATGATATGTAATTTACAATAAATCAAGGGAAGAATAAAAGTTAACAATAGCGAAAGAAAACATTGGCAATAAACGAGAATGGAAGAAAACTAATAATTGAAACTAATCAACGACGATAAAAACGAAATGCGAAAAATCCAATTATTCTTTTCGACAAGTGTCAAACAATATGAAAAAAAGGAAAAATAGTAATACAAAGATTCGATACGACATTGGTATAAGATGATCTATTACAATAGAAATTTATTCGATTGTTTATTACAGTGTTTCGCCATTCAATCAAATTTTTATATACGCGGCAATACGTTTTCTCGACGTGAGTCGAAAATAAGCAAGAATTCTTCTTTATTCAGAACTCGTCGAAACGAGCGAAATAATTGATAGATCACGAAATATAGTCTTTTTACTCGAATAAAAAAAACGCAATTTGTTCTATTTATCTGTTTTCTATATATATGCGAATCGTAACATGTCGCAAACATGGAAATATCGCGCAGTGAATGGAAATTTTCACCGGGAAATACTCGGAAAATTTACTTTACATTCATTCTAACTAAATATTCCCTTGGTCGGTATTTATATAAAAATTTAAACAATGTTTCTTTAACCATATAAAATTCCAAAATTAAACAACACAGGGAGGAAAATATTATGTTTCGTAAAAAAAAAGAAAAGGAAATTACGCTTCATGACTTTTAATTCTTATTTAATCAACAAATAATTTTATAATTTATTTATTAGTATTATTAATTATTTATTTAATTTATTTATCGTTATAATTACGAAATATCTTTATAAAATTTTCTCGAATAATGTCTATCGTTTCATACAATAATTTTTAAATTCTACAATTAAGATATTCATCTTTTTTAAAATCTAAGATTATTAAAATCTTTCCTACTTTCCTTTTTCTACAAAATATTTTCATAATATCAAAACTTTCGAGTTTTCAAAATCACATTCTCGCTTTCGACTCTTTCGAAAGACCTTGTAACATCGATTATTAAAAACTAACACCTCTTTCTCTAAATTAATTCTTATATCAATTTTTGAAGAATTAATAATCCTTTCTTCTTAATAAACAATACCTATTGATTCTCAATCGTTTTCAACGATCTCTCATTCTTTTATCCCTCCCTTAAATCCTTACAGCGTCTCTTTATAAGAATCAATATCCTTTACAAAAAAAAAAAAAAAAAGTATTTCTATAATATTAATCATTAATCTCTGATAACCTTTTAGTTTCAAATTATCTCGCAAAGACATGTAACATCGGTTTTAACAAGTTTTTTTCGCACGTTCAAGAAAGTAACGCCCACGAACCGGTCGGTTCCCCGGTTATATTCCAGGGTTTCCTACTGCCAAACAGAATCTGTACAAGAGTAAAGAGTACATACTTACATAGTTAACTAATGATATCCAGAGATTTAACCAGTCACGCGAGATACCTTGTCGTCAGAGACAAGGCCTCTTAATTACGGTTTTATCGTGTAACATGATGCAAGTATTCGAACGAATTTACTTTTCGAGGTGAAACGTGAATTTGCGCCGAACTTTTGAATAATTCATTTATTCGTTGAGTAATTTGATTTGGATCGTGGATTGGGGGAAAAAATCTTGTATTTTGTGACACAAGTTTTTCATATTCAGTATAATTGTCCTATGTAGAATAATATATAAGAATTATTCTTATTTTATAAAATTTGATAAAAGTTCGGATAGTATCTCGAATTTTTTAGTTTTAAAATATTATATTGTACATGGATATTGCGTGGAAAAAAGTTTGTTCAAATTTCAAATTTCCTTTTTTTTATTTTATGTTTGATAAAAATTCATGGTATTTCGAATTTTGTTCCCGACAAAAAAATTTATGGAATTCGAAATAAAAGAATTTATGAAAAATTTAGGGGGAAAAAAAAATATTTTATTTTTATATTCTCTCTATATGTTTTTATATTCAATTATTCTATTTTTCGATTTTTATATTTGAGAGAGCAAGAGATCGAATGAAATAAAAAGATTTTAGGCGTAATCTGAAAAAACTACTGATTCGAAATAATCAATTTGATTATTAAATAATATTGTTGGATCATAAATGATGATATCAAATTTTCAGTTTTACAATTAAATTCTGTTAATTCAAAAATAAAATTTATTACAAAACTGTTTTTTTTATATATAAATATATGAGAAGTTTTTAATGCATTTTTAATTTCGTAATAATTGCTTTTAATTTCGTTACTATTTAAATATTTTATTTTCTTTAGGATAATTGTTCTCTGTGCCATTCCTGATGCAAAGCTATTTATATTATAATTCTAATTTCGAGAAAGAAGATGTTCATACTGCGATAAGAAAAAAAAAGAGGAATATTACAAAATTTGATCTAAAAAACTTTAAATTTTTGCATTTTTCGTCATACATATACTTAATCTGATTTTAAATCTAATGACAATTAAAGAATTTTTATTAAAGTAGAGAGATATAAAAGATATAAGTTTTTTACGAGATCATTTTTCAGAATAAAAAACGAAGAAATCATTAATTTTGTTCCACACAAAGATTATAATCCTCGTCGTACATTTTAATGCATGCATTTACATTTTAGAAATTATTCGTTATAATGAAGGAAAATATTATGTAAAATAATTCTTATTCCAATTAAATAAATTTCCATTAAATAAATACTTAAATAAATAAATAAATATATATATATATATATATATTCATTGATATTAAATAAACTAATTCAATGTATAATAAAAACTATCTAACTTCTATATTGTGTAATTTCATTTTATAATTTCTTTTTTTAACTATCCATTCGTTTCATATCAAAACGTACTTCATATTATTAATCATTTTATATTATAATATATTTTTTTCTTTTTTATTTCATTAATGCGTCAAAGGAATTTTTATAACACACCTACGCGTATATTTTCATTCGCAGAAAAAAATATTGTAAATACGTTATAACACTATTAATATTGATGATATTGTAAAAACCAAAAAAAAGAAAAGTGAGAAATACTAACGAAATTTGATTTTCAAGTTTAGAACTCTGTTCTCTGTTATTATAGCTCCGAAATTTCTCATTATTATTCTTACTTTTAATCGATATATATATATATATTTCTTATAATAAGTCTTTATGATTTTAAATTGCAAAAAATATATCATAATATAATTTGTTCTTTAAAATCTTATTTATCTATTATTAAATTATTATATTTCATATCATTATTTATCAACACTAACCTATTTGCCTTTTATAGTTAAATTTCTAGATTTTTAAATTAGAAAACGAAATATAATGAATCGTAATTTTTAAATGTTTCTCTTTTATGTTCAAACGAAATTCAGATCTACATAATACATGTGAAATTAATAATAAATGTGTCCCCCTAGCGGGCCCTGACTAAACCTATGTATTTAAATTCATACGAAACCGCGCGCTTTCTTCCACCGCCATGTCTAATTTTCAAAACAAATTACCTATCATATTTCGCTTATTGTTCGCTTATCGTCCTTTCCAAACATTACATAAATGTATACACGCGATTATTCGCACGTGATAACGTGTTTCAACAAGAATAATAACAAACATATCGAAAATCTAAACAGAAAATTAAGAATTTCTTACCTCATCGCGATACGATGATACGGCGTCATATACGTCGTTTCCTACTCATCCTTCTTCCTATTGAATCGAAAAGCAAATTTCTTCTTCTATAGTTAAAAAGGGAAAGGAATTGTGTCCAGTATACACGGTCGATTAATCAAATTCTCGATTCGAATGGAACACCACATAAAATAAACGAAATAAAGATAACACTCACGACCGAAACTATACGAGGCAATACGAACGAAAAAACAACGTAAAAACTTCGAGGCGAGCACAATTATTACTTTTCACCGTTGCAAGCAATTAAATTTTACGTTTTTTCTTCCGTTTCGCGTTTATCTTTATATACACGTTGTTCGTTACACACTTATACCGACGATCAACAGGATACGTATTACTTGGTCGACTGACGAGCCTCGACTGCCGCCCCGATGCGAGGCTCACTTCATGGCATCCCTACTTGTGCCCGCTTCCCCCACTAAGGGTTCACAGTCTGATGTACGTAAGGTTATGAATTTCGTTGAATTTGTCTATCCTAAAATTCTAAATGTTTTAGCGTTCCAAATATCGTTCCAAGAAATGAAACATGATGCATTATTTATATATAAGTATTTGCATAAAACACGTTTTATATTTAGATTGATTTAGACAAGTTTCATGTAGAAATTATGTCAATTTTCGAATTAAATAAAACAGGTTATAAATATTTTTTCGAAAAATTTTAAGTGAGATGAAATGTTAGTTTCTTTTTTCTATTAGCAACGTAATATATTATTTTATTATAATATGTTTTCTAACAATTGTAGAAAATTTTATTACATTTTATACGATTTTGTTGAAAACATGAAATATAAATACAATGAATCTGTCTCGTTAAAACTTTCTACGAAATAAATACTACGAAAATAAATACAATCCTTTTTCTCCCAAACTGTTAAAACTGTTTGTTTTTATAAATAATAGAAATGCATATTAAAAAATAATCAGTAATAAAATGCACGACAAAAAATAATTATATCTTTTAACTCATTTTTTTTTATCTGAAAACTTTTTACACGATAAATTAATAATTCACGAGAATTGAATGCGAAAATAAAATGATCAATTAAAACGAGAAAAAACTATTTTTGATAAAATTGATTGCAAATATAAAAAAATATACAAACAAACAATAATGAAATATCAATATTATATCTTTTCGATATATATTCATTATATATATTAAAAAAATAAAGAATCTTCAAGAAAATATCAAAATAATTCGTAATTAAAGAATTATAGATTAAAGAAAAATAATAACATTTTTGATATTCAATTTTATCAATGATCAAGACAACATCGCGATACATTAGATATATATATAGCATGAAATATGATGAATTTATTAATAAAACCATGCAAATATCTCAATAGCATTAATATTTTAGTATTGGAATTCATTACGTAGTGGAATTCACACGAACTATGAATAAGATTGATAGAATAAAGGCTCGCCGTATAGAAAATTAAATTTAAATAAAAATAAAAATTTGAAAGAATTAGCATTAAAGAAGATTGATATACATATACGCGTGAGAATTGAATTTTCAATAAAGATATGAAATCGTGTAAATGATATTTTAATTACTACTTATTCGATAAAATGATCTAAATTCGTTTTAAATTTATATTAAATTTTCTTCATATTTCATGGTTATTGGAAAAACGATGTTATAAATTGACGAATATTAATCAAAACGACTAAGTATCCGACCGTTTTCCAATAATGGAACGTTTCCTTTATCACAATTCACGTTTTCCACGAATCACTGTAACCAATAATTAGTTCCGACAGAAACTAAACCCAAGGATATATGTATACACAATTCACAATGCATGTCACACTTTGAAACCGCGGAGGACTCGTTAAAACTTTAATATCGAATGTTTCTACAAAACCATTTTATGCACTTGCATTTACTGCTAACATTCCTCGCAACTCGTATAATACTTTTTAAAAATAAACTAACTGTTTAACATTGAATTTGCGACGTTATTTCACAAACAAATATGCGAATCAGAAATTATTGTTTGAGTTGAGTGACGAACATTGTATAGAAATATATTGTATTCTTTATATTGCAGACAATTTCATTATTTCATTAACAAAGAGACATTATACTCATCATCATTGTGCTCAAAATATCCTTTTCATTTGTTTTAAAATTTTATATGACTTCATAATTTTTTTTATTTTATTTTCTATTCATAAATATAATTATTCTTTTCTGATAAAGATTAATATACTTTGAATTTTTGTACTATAAAAATAATGATTATTATATGTCATAACTCTTTTTTCAAAAATTAACAGGATTTCTTATTAATTAATTCTATAATTTCTTGTTGACATAAAAGAAATTACTTAAGAAAGAAGATTAGACGAATCTACAAAAGAAATATGTATCAATTTAAATATAAAATTATAGATGAATGGATTTTCAATAATTTTACCTTTCATTTACATTTGATTACAATTCTCAAAATATTCATTCTTTATCATTCTTTATATTTTATTTTGACATTATTGAACATATAATAAAATAATGTATATCAAGATTTTATTTCCTTTTGTGAATTTCAATCTATGTTTCTTTTTTTTTTTTTATCATATAATATTTTACATAAACTGAACCAAACATTTAAAAGTGATTCGAATGTTTAATTGTATACAAAGAGAATATTATATTTCATTATGAAAAATATCATCGAGTTTTTAACGAGATTCGCGCAATTGATTGTAATATTATATCTTTTGATAGCTTTCTTCAATAAGTAATTTAAATTTACAGCCAGTTGATTACGTGAAAAATTTATTAATTTTCCATTACTTTGTACGCCATAAAAACCATAGCCACAAATTTCATTTAATAAATTGCACAATCTGTAAATTTTAATTTAAATTATTAAATGATTTATTTACAACGATTTATAACAATTAATTTTTAAATTTTAATTAAAAAGCTGTCCAATCAATTATAATCATTCTCATCCATATATAAAATTCTTATTAAAGAGGATCTATTAATTCTGCTTAAAAGAGTAATCCATTTCCACAATAATTCAGATAAAAATTCTTTTCTCAGTATACATTCTTAATTAATTTTGAATGTTACATTTTTTTATTGAAATTTCTAAAAAAAAGAAAGAATAAATCATTATATTTAGAATCCATTCTTGCTGTTCATGTCATCTTTATAAGAAATTAATATTCAAAAAGTTAAAAGATTGTATAATATCATATCTAGTATAATACAAGGAATTTCACCAAATTTGAAAAATCAAAATTCTTCAGTAATTAGTTCCAATAGCATAATTCCAAATTATTGATCCATTAATGCATCGCATAGGAAGTATACAAAAAAAATTGAATGTTATCAAGGGCTTCTACTGTACTTATTCCAAAAGAATTTCTTCCTTGTTCAAAAACTGCTTATTTATCGAAAGCTTTCGTCTCGTTCTCTAAAAGGTTATCAGAAGAATTTCCACGTCTTTTTCGCACACGTTCCATAGGAATTATCTACTTATACTTTATTTGCTCTCAATACTTTTTCTTATTTTATCCTGTTCCGTTTTATTCCTCGATATTTCAATGTTGGAAAAATTTCAGTTAACTTCATCATCAATATCGGACGTTTACCTTCCGCAATTCTTATTCATTAAACCAATTTCTCCACTTCGACAGTTGAACATTTGCTCGATGTGTAATTTATTGGAAAGAGATAAAAAATAAATTTGAAAAATAATAAGAAATTCCAAAGAGGGAAGAAACTTTATAATATAATAGAATATTTAAAATATTTGAAATAATATAATAAAATTATATTTTGCTCGAAAAAAAAAAAGTAAAGAATCTCTTTATTCATACATACATTTTTCCACTTTCCTTCTTCTTCTTATCTTTTCTACAATTGATCAATTTTTCTCAATTTCGAAAAGAGTCATCCAGAATGTTTCTTAAATGAAAATCCTTCAAGCAGTTGAAAATAATCTCATACATTTTATTGTCATCTTCTAATTCAACATTTTTCAATATAAGACAATATTGAGAGTCAAGAATATTTTAAATATTTTCAAAACAATTGCAAAATGATTGCATTCATCATTATTAAAAATATATAAAATTTCTAACATGAAATTTATTATTCATTGAACAATAATCAAAATCAATTTTACTTATGCTCTTCTCTTAAGTATCTATTTACATTATACATTTCCAAAACTTGATAACAACTAATACCCTAGAAATACAATAATCTTTGAGGTATTGAACTGAGATATGATTTAAAAAAAGAAATTAAAAAATTAAAATAAAAAAATATCATCCCTTAATGATATCTTCTTCATTTTCCTCATTAACAATCATATATTCATTTCCAACTATATAACAATTCATTAATCATCGTCAAGTCCATTTTCTATCAGTTATGATATAGGAATCGCCTTTACTTCCGCCTGTATGCCGTGGGATAATCCGTCAAAATGCTGCCAGTTGAAAGAATGGCACCTGGGCCGCCCAAGAGTCCACCTTTGTTCGCCAACCATCCGTTTCCACCGAAAAAACCGGCTGGTTCCACTCTATTGGTGTAAAACCCGGAATCAGTCAAACCAGCGAGATTCAATAAATTATTCGCGTTGCTTAATTGCTTCCCCTCCTTTTCATTCCGAAAGCCAAGGTTGTTCAACGCCTCTTTGAGCTGGATGACACGATTCTGGAGAGTTTGGGGGTCGATCTGAAGATTCTGCACGAATGGCGTGAAAAACCAGGAGAAGAGATTTGGCTTCGACGTGGTGGTTGCTTCAGGCTGAAAATTAATGTTAGTTTGTTAGAAGAGCCATTTAATGGTGGAATAATTTCATATGAATAAGTGATACGAAAAGAGAGCTTGATGTAGAATATATGAAATGTAATCGAGTTTTATTTTTTCATTCGATGGAATTTAAATCATGGGAGAATTTGGGATGAAATATTTTTTTATCATGTTGGAAAATTTAATAATTGGAACGAAGAATTTGAGAATTTGAAATATTTCTTTTATATATTGGATTGATAAAATTGAGGTGAAGAATTTGGTTGGTACAATTGAGATTCCTTTTTATTGGATTGACAGAATTTAATTTAATAAATGCAGCAAAGAATTTGATGCATAATTGTGATTCTTTTTTTTTTATTGGATTTTAAAATTTGATTTAATAATTGGGATGTTGAGATACTGATGTTCGTGAGAAGTTTTAAAAAAGTTTTTTTTAACGAGATAGAAGAATATTGTAATTGCGGTAATAGAATGCAATTTAATTATTACGATAAAAAATTTAAAATGCAACAATTTAGCTTAAAAAATAATAGAAAAATATGTAAATTAAATCAATGATTGGAAAAAATTTACATTTGCTTACAATGTCAAAGAAAAAGAATCAAAAATTTGAGTTTATTTCCTTTTTTAATAAAATTTATGTTAAAATTTTTTTTCTTTCTAAATTGAGGAAAATAATTTAATATTATACAAACTTATTTCAAATAACATAAGAGTTTCAAAAACATATAAATTCGAGAAATATAATTTTACATTTAAGGATTAAAACATATAACTATTTAAATAAGATAATTGTCTTTAAAATTAGTAATAGAACTATAATTTCTTTCATTACATATATTCCTTTACTTATTTGCAATGATAAAAATAAGAACTTCAACTTACGATAAAATATTTTTACTATTTTTGTTTTATACCTTCGAATCAGATCATATCTCAATTTGGATAAATCTAAAATCTATATGAAAATCTTAAAAAACTTTTTTACACTCTTCCACGAGGATTAAGGGGGATTATTCTTTTCTGTCAAACCTAGAAAAGAATTAAAATTAAAAATAACCACCGTAAATCTTGCGAAAAGCGTAAAGAACTTGTGTTACACACGTTTTATAATCCACATACGTATAAAATAAATATGAAACACGATTTATAATCCCAGAAATGTTTCACTTTATTGTTACAAACAAACTACTGTACAGCAAGTACTCCAGTGCTTTGTGCTCTGGCTATTGTATCATCCATTGCACTGCTTCTGTTTCGAATGTATATCTTCCTCGAGTGGATCAATTATATACCTTCGATACTTACGGTTTGAACGTTCTTCAATGTCGACGTGATAATAGAATCTTCATCCACGATATCTGTCAATTTCACATCGTTAATTTTATCGGACGATTGATCTGGGGACTGAGCGTATGATCCAACAATCTGAATATTCAAAAAGAGAAAAAATAAAATAAATAATATCAAGTTCTTTCGAAATTGAAAATATATTTGAATAAAATAGATCTTTTGATAAACGCATAATATCAAAAATTATACAAATAAAATTCCTTCGAAATAACAGTGATAATAATCTAAATATTGGATAGAAAATTAAATTCAATGTGTAAATAAAATATGTCCATAACTCTTGTAAAAAAAAAAAAAAAACAACTCAAATATAATAAATTAAATTCTAACAATGATATCGTACACGCATAATGCACGTAAATGAACATTCACAAATACGATTTACCAGTAAGATCAACATCAAAACCGACGACATCGTTTTCCAAAATCGATTTCCTCGACAATCCCAACTTCCGCCGAGGGAAAGCACTCACGTAAGTTTCCACGAAGTGCAATAATCGAAATGCAACTGCGTGAACCGTTCCCGCATTCGACAGTCTATATACCATTTCACCGTTGAATAAAATTTCTCTTATCGAATGGAGGTACCCTCATACGTTCAATACATCACTGATAACATTATGATTACCAAATTATACCAGTTTCGCGTTACGGAAACCTGGAGTAATCTTTTCTATCGCGTTTCAATTTGTTAATTGGCGAAAAAATTAGTTAACTCTAGATGCTAAAGTTGAAAAGTTGTCTTAAAAGGAAAAGAAAGAAATATAATTTTTGTTTCTTATTTAGGACGTGTCATAAAATATGATATTCAAATGTAATTTTATATGTATTCACTTTCATTGTCGTAAAATTTGTTCGGCAATAATATTTTTTCAAGCAAATTTAATTATGTACAAGATTTTAATTAATATTTATTTACTTATAAAGATTTAAGTAATTTGATTGGTTAAATAAGATCACTTAATTTTTCTCTTTTGTTAGTTTTATTGTTCTATTTTTATTACAAATAAATTTATAGGCATTTTTATATCAGAATATATTTATTAAAATTATTTATCATTTATTACTGTCCACCTATAAATTGTTTTTAATTGAAAAATGAAACTTTACTTTCTCTTTTTTTTTATATTTTGTTAAATGGAATTTGAAATTCTCTGAAACAAATCATTATCAAATTTCAAAAATATTCTAGAAAAACTTCTTCTTAGCATAATTAAATGAATCTTGAATAAAGTTTATTAGAATAAATTCTAAGAATTAAAATCTGCTGAACATGAACGGTGTATTATTTATTTTATCAGCTTTTAGTAATTTTCTTAACAATAATAAAATGTTAATTGAAACGAGAGTGTGAAAAACAAAAAATAAATTCTACTTTCAAGTTAAAAAAAATTTCTCATTAAAATATATACAAATAATGAATTTATTTATGAAGCGAAATATGAGATTTATAATATTTCCAAGTACAGATATTTTCCAAGAAGAGAAATAATTTCTACTTCTCTGTACAATTTCTCTGAAAATAATTAATCTATTTCAAAAATAACATTTTTCAAAATAATTCCAACAATAAATTATTATGTTATTATTATATTTAAAAGCACAATTATTATTATATTTATAATTATTACATTTAAAATTAAACTAACTATTTTTTAATAGATACCGTAAATCAATAAATTAAAAGTCTATTTTAAAAATGCCAATAAATTATTTTTATCAGGAAAATTTTAAAAAGGAAAAAAATTTTAAATTCTCTTCTAATATTCATGATGTATTAATTTTAAATACATTAAAACTTCCGTTATCCAAATAAATCTAACATTTGTTCTACTAACCCATTATTTTGTTACACGAATTATACATTATAACTCAGCAATATAAATATCTTTCTTTATATTTTATAAAATTTTATTTGAAATTTAATTATTTATTTTGAAATTGACGTTGTATCTACCTATGTCGATAATGTGTTAACAAGTATTGAAACGAAACCGGAAATGCTTAAGAAATTAGAAACTGGTAAGAGTGTTGATAAAATATTAGGAAATCCGCAATTAATGACATTGATAGAAAAAAAGAAAAATAGAATGAAATAGAAATTATATGCAAGATGCATATAATTTCTTTATGCATTAATTGCAAAAATTTGTACTCTCTCTAAAAAGTATAAAATCTCTAATTTTAAAATAAAAATATCAATTTTTTTTATAAATAAACATATTATTTTCCTCAAAACGTAGAATGATTATTTATCTAATAAAAATCTATGTTGTTTATATATCATTATTTGAAAATTCGTTTAACCAAAATAGTTCAAGCAACAGAGATACTACTATAACTAAAAGTCTTCTTAATACTTTCAACAAATGTGCTAATAAAGACACAAATAGTCAGTGGACGAATAGAGATTCAGAGACTCGTGTTAAAAACCAGTCGGCCTTTTCACTATCGCGTACAATCTGGATCCACAACCGAATTACCTTGAAAGTGCAGTCATCGAACAGGATTCGCTGGTTCTCGTCCATTTTCCTTTACTTCTCTACTGAAATCGTCATGACGGCCTTGTGCAAGGTCGCAGCCTTCCGAGAACGAAAGTTCCAATCGTTTGATTGTTCTTCGTGATTCACTTTCGCTCCATATGTTTTACATTTGATTATTGAAATGAATAGTTCATTGTTAAAAAGATGAAAAAACAAGATTCATGATTTCAAGGACGACGAGATATAAATCAAGGATAATATTATTATTTAGACATTTTCTTCTTCTTCTTCTTCTTCTTTTTTATTTTTTTATTTTTAAGAAATTAGTCGTAGTTATGTAGTATACAGTAAGTGGAATTAATTAATGCTTAAAGTTTTTTGTATTATGAATTAAAACATTTTTATAGTTTTATCTGAAAAAAATGTTTGATTAATTAATATTTTAAATACATATATATTTAGAATTATAAGATAATTACAAAAGTTAATACTTTGTTTATTATAAAAAGTAATAATAACTTACTTTACTCAATGGTAATTAAAACTATTTTTAATTATAAATATTTATAAGTATTTTATAAATACATGCACAAGTTCTATTAAGATTCAATCAATTAATTAGATGTATGCAATCGTATGCAATATCTACGTTAGTTAAGATCCATTCCACCAATCGACGTATAAACATCAAACTCAACAAATTTCAGATCACATTAATTAGAAATTTCCATCCGCATCTGAAAGTAGTACCGTTTTTTATTTATAAAAATAATTTAAGAATATAATATACACATTTCATAATTTTATACATAAAGTGGATTGTGAAAAGAAATTAAAGTAAAAGAGAAATAGAATTTACTACAATTATATACAAATATTTATATACAAAATAAAAACTTGATTATGAACTTTGAAAATCAAGAGAAGAATTATTCCTTTATAATAATAAATATTTTTTCTTCAAACGAATACTAAATTATTAAAATATTGAAATAAAAACTAAAATCCACATTATTACATAGTAGCAAAAAACTAAATCCAAAATTCAGAAAAACAATCCTTGCTTGCACTAAATTCTTTCTTACATGTATAAACCAGTTCCTGAAAAAATAAAATAAAAGTAAAATTAATTTATATACCAATAAAGGATAAAATTTATCATGATCAATTTCAAAAATTAATTGTATAAAAACTATTACTTACAAACCAAATCTAGAAGACAAAACAAATTTTATCATTCCACTCTTACTCGCTTCAAACTTGAATATATTTATACATATTTATTCCATCCCATAATTGGAGCAATAATTTTTCTTTTTTCGTTCTATTCCTCTTTCCAGTCACCTTAAATTCAAATTTACATATATACAATATCTATTCTACATTTTTTTCACTCCTACTACCAATCCACTCACCTGAAAACTCGAATCTACATATCTACGTATTCCAACGTACAATTTCCACCAATAATTATTTTCTTTTCTCGCTTTACTCATCTCAAATCTACATCTTGAATCTTGACAATCTCTGTTCGATCATTTTTATTATTTTTCCGGCCCCATCCTTAATGCTCGAACCTTGATGCGGAACGCGAGCATCGCTGTTCGCCCGAAACCGGAAATCAAAGGAAGCGAATCCAGCTCGGCCACGCTGCATAGCGGAAAACGAAGCTCGGCTCACGCACGCGAGCCGCATACCGATCTCAACTTAATTCAAGTGTCACGCGTCTGCGTTCGTTCGCGAACCCTTGCGTGGCCTCTCGTTTCTTCCTCCTTGATTAACACTTCTGCTCTTTTCACGCTTAGAATGTACTGTGCGCGGCGATGGAACCGTTACCAGCCTTTTTCGAGACCAGTTCCTCGGCGACGCTCGGCCGCGAACCTTGATCCACGAGAGGAAAATCGACGAATCGAAGGAACGAGCACTCCGTGGACCGGTCTGGGTCGTTCAGTTTCGATATAACGACGCTCTCACGCGGACTAGTCCGATTTTTTTCCCGGATGATGGCGATCTGGTGACAGTATTTCTTATTGGAAATACGTTTCTCGTCCTCTGGGAATTCACATTCGAAGAGAGGATCTTTTCGAGGAAAGGAGAGGTATTATTATAGCGGAGGTCTGGAAAAAGCAGTATGAAGAAGATATTTTATTGTTTTTTGGTGATCGCGCTGCTGTCTCGACAGGTGAGATTTCTATGTGCTGATATTTTATATTTTATAGGGAATCGTTGTTTCACGACAACGAGTTTGGAAAGTAATTTTGTTGATCGAAAGATTTTATTTTTAATTACGAAGTTGCGAAGAGATTGTACGGATTTTAAATGACTATATTATTTTTAATTATTGAGTATAAAACGAAGAGGAAGCATCTTTTTTTAATAATTATAGGTATAGATAACGTTATAAATTTTCGAATTTGGAAAAGAAAATTGTATTTTATCTTGGAGATGGATCGTATCGAAAAATTAGTTTAAATAAATTATTATTTTTCGTTTGAACCATGTAATAAACACATTTAATCAATTAAGATACTTAATATAATTTACAATATAATTATTAGAATTACTTAGAAATTATTTAAATTTATTTTTCTAAATTTTTCGTAATTATTAAATGAAATTCTTAAGAATTTAAAGGAAATATTGATGTGGATTATAAAAAAATATCATATTAAAACTTTATAATATCGAAAATTAATATTTGCTAATATTTTTAACAATGATATATTATTGTATCAATATTATTAACCATGTACTTCTCAATATTTTATTTTAACATTCGTGAAGTCCAAAAAAAAAAATAAGTATTTCTCAAAAAATTAATATTCTATCCTCTATCGGAAAAATCGTGTCAGATATTAATGTTAAAATTATATTAATATTAAAATAACAATTTCACATTAAACTCGATTATTTGAAGTTCGTTTCGATTAAATTTCACAAATTGCCACAAATTAATACCAATGTTCCCTTTAAAGTCTCATTAGCCATTTCATTCGCATTAATTGCACAATTCAGTTCTTTTCCAAAAACTTGCGCTGATGAAAAGGGAGAGAAAAAAAGTTACCACTTACTTTGGCATAGATAGAAGGTCGAGTTTTAATTAACTCTCGGAGAGAAGTTTCACCAAAGCCGCCCCTTGTGTCGTTCTACCGTTCTCAAGAATCGTGGCCGACGATTTTCTGCCACGAGAACTTTTCCTTCCTCTTAATTATCCTTTAAAGAAACGATTCTTAACCTTTTGTTCGCGAATCTCTTCTTTAGATAATTCTCATTTACTTCAAAACTTGAATCTGTAATGTGTGAATCGAATATATGTATGCAGTATTTGAAATAACGATATTAAAAGATAAAATGAACCAAGCATTAAAGCAACAAAGCAAAATAAATAAATGAAGGAAAAAATCTTACCATAATATTATTGTTTTTGATATCAATAATTCACGCTATAATCTAAAAAGAACATTTGTAGATGTTTAATTAGAAAATAATAAATTAAAATTATCTTGTAAATTATACATACATCTGTAAGAGAATTGCCATGTATATTTCCTTCAAAATTAAGATACAATTTATCGAAATTTTACTAAAAATAAAACGATTATTAAGACTTCCAGCATAAATACACCAAATATTCCTAAATAAAAATTACGAATCGCAAGAAAAATTTTCGAGGGAATTAAAATTATAATTTTCCTTTTCATAATTTTTAGATATATTGTGATAATTATTACTTTTTGCTTTAGGCTCTTTGTGGAATTCTAAGAAATCCACCGGCCTTCTCGAAGCCAGTTTACTCGGACTCCTATCTTCCAGCAGCTATGCAAGTGAGCATCATCATTAACTGCATCAAAAAAAAAAAAAGCTTCATTCGATCCATAAAAATGTCAATTTTAAAACGAACATAAAAATCGATTAAAAAAAAAAAAAAAGTAAACGCGTATCGGATGAAACGTAATCTTAAAATTTTGTTGAAAAACTTACTTATCGTAATCCCACCCAAAGGAATCTGTCTCTATCTTGCACAGGTGATATTCCACGCTGTCGAGCAATTGAAACTCCTCCAATCGGAAGAGGCTACGCACACTTCGACCAACTCGGGGAACCCCTCCACCTCACCGATCACCCTCACGGATCTGGATCAACAAACAACCTCTCAAGATTCCTCCACCTCGCTCGTGTTAACCTCTCAAGAGGACTCGAACGCGGAGGAGGAAGAATCCAACTCGGAAGACACGTCGAGAAACGAGGAGGAGCAAGCAGCTCAACAATCGCAAGAAAGCAAACCGGAGGAAGACACGTCCAAGATCCAAGAGGAGGAGGCATCGACAGACAGAATGGAGGAGGCGTCTAAAATCGAAGACGGTTCGGAGGATTCGAAAGAGGCATTGAGCGATGAAAGGAAACCGGTGGAGGAGAAAATGGAAGACAACGCGAAACCTATTGGATCTTACGAGGATCACACGAGGGTACAAGGGTCGCCAGAGTTGAACGAGGAAACGCCAGAGACGAGCTACGCGACGCCGGAAACGAATTACGAGGAACCGGAACAGGTGCACGCCGCGCAAGAAACGAATGAAGAGGTTGCCGAGGAAAATCACGAATGGATTTCCTCGATTGACACGGAAACGAGGGTGGAAGTGACGACAGCCGATTCGGTAACCGTGATCGATGAGAAGAAGAAAGAGCCGACGATCGACAGCGTGGTCCAAGGCGTCTACGAGATCTTGAAACCTACCACGTCGAAATTCGTGGATGAAGAATTATTGGAGGAGTCGAAAAGCGTCGGGGGAGTTGGAATTGAGAAGATGGAGAAAATGGAGAGGGCCGAGGAGGAGAGCGATGAGAACAGGTAAGGTTTTAATCTTGGGACGATTATCTTTTGTGAGGGAATATTTTGGAAATGCGTAATTAATGCAATTAAATTATATTTGTTGGGATGTTCGATAGATTAATAGTATTAAAATTTGTATCTACGTTTACTTTTTTTTTTTTTTAATTCGTATTCATGAAAATATGAATTTTCATAGGTGTCTAGTTTAATCACGTGGATTTCATTTAGATAGATTGTTTCATTATTTCTATATTTCTTAATTGTAGGATATATATTTTATATGATGCATAAGTATATTCGTTTCTTTTATACTGCATCAAAATATTTTCAACTACTCGGGAACTTTTTTTGTAAACATTCCTAGACATCGATTTGAAATAATTTTTTTATATTCTATTTAATTTCTTTAATCGTTTAGAAATAGCGTTTCTTTAAAAAAAGTAAAATTATTTAAAAAGACAATCAATATCGTCAATTATCAGATTAAATTAATATTTACTTCGGATATTTTTATCAAATCTCGTATATAACATTATATAATCATTTTTTTATCGTAAATATAAAAGATTTAAATTCGATTGAATTTGATACAACATTTGGATCTATCACAAATAATGTTTATAAGTGAAACGAATTCTCATTAATGTTTATTTCGAACTTGATACGAAGTAGATAAACAGTAGAGTGAACCAACCGCGATAAGAATATTATTATTCAGTATTCAGTTGAGATATCGATTCGAGTCTCGTTAGAAACTTTACCTAACTAAATACACACAAACAACAAAACAACAGTGATTACTTCGAGTGTAAATGTTCTATCAACTCGTTACGAAACTTAAAAGGTGTGTATTCAACGAAATTGCTCCATTACCTTCAGAATTTCGACGATAATCCAATTAAACATGCTGTTTTTCTTCTAAATTTTGTTTTAAGATTAAAAAATGTATAATTAATATGATTTCATAAAATAGGGATAAGTAAAATAATTTAACGACAGTGAATATTTTCAATTTTTCGAAATAAATCGATGAATGAAATTTAAATAAGCGAGTAAATATAATAAAAATCTTTTGCAATAATTAAAAACAAATAACAAAATTCCGAAAAACGTATCAAATAAATGAAATCAAAGACGATATAAAAAGATTATTATTCTACGAAACGAACTGACCAAAACTTAGATAATTTTGAACGAAAGATAAATCGAACAGCAAAACTGATATTACGAAAATTATTACGATAAGAAAGAAAAATTTATCAAATATAATAACTAACTTTTTACAATTTTCCAACCATTTCTCGTCAGGTTCACACGTCTGGGCGAGAAGGTGACCCAAGTTCCAAGGCCAAGTTTGACCAGCTATCTAAGACGTTCGAAAGTACCACCGAGTGCCACTCTTCAACAACTTGCAAATCTTTACGACTCGTTGAGCAAGGATGCTAGAAAGCAGGGATTTGGCAAATATACCGGATATTCCGACGAAGTTCTCAATACTTTGGAAACTTCTGCCGAGGGGGGTATAGGGCCACAGATGAAGAAGATTCTTTCCAAGGTGTTGGAACGAAACGAGTTGACGAGGGAAGACGCGAGAATGAGGGCGTCGCAGGCTGTACGAGATCTCGACAACCCTTCGAGCATGCTCAACAAGGATCTAAGAGCTGTGTTGCCTTTGCGTTACTCCCCGTAATCCTAGATATTAGATATAATCGATTCACACACGTCCACGTCGATTAATTCAATACGTTGATTTGTTAGTTAAGACTTGTTATTTTGAAGGGAAAATTGATAATCTGTAGTGTAGAGATTGATTGGATAAGCAAGTGGGACGTCTGTGGACTCGTTTTGATTTGAAAAATTGATTATGAATTATTTGGAAATTGGTGAAAATTTTAAGTAGAATTAAGTAATTATTTGAATTACTTGTTGAAATTTAGATTACACTTTCTTCAACGTTGCTTTCCAGTATTGACGAATATACGATGGAAATAAAATTATTATTTTCTTTCTGTATAATTGATAATTCAATAAAACTTTTATACACAATGGATTGGTCGATTCAGTGAACTGCGATTTTTCTATTGTTTTAAGGTAATATGATTACATAAAAGTGATTTAATCTAGTATATCATTGAAATGATCTTCAAATGCCTTTGGAATTGAATTTTAATATTTGAGAAATTACTTTTATTAACCTTGAAACTTTAATAACATTTAAATGATATTGAATAAAATTTTGAAATGATCTTGAGTTCGAATCTTTTTCAAATATTTTTTGAGGATAAATATAATTTAAATATTATATCCTTAAAAAGTATTAGGAGAAAAATGTTTTCAGAAAGATGAAAATTTAATAAAGCATTTTCCAGGCATATTCCAATATAATTAGTACAAAGCAAATATTCCTGGAAAAGCTTTGACTAAAGCATTGAAAGCCACAGGAATTTAAAGGTGATTCAATAATTCTGAGTACAATGAAGTTGATTCACAACCGATTTTTTTCGTAATGCATCATCATTATGATACCGTACAAAGTTTTTGAGAATAATGTCATTCTAAAGAATTGTACCTAAAACAAAATATAATCGAACAATTCGAGAACTTGTAACATTTTGCAAGCACGCATTACACAAAAATCTTTTTTTTTTCCAACATATATTAATTCATTAAACAATAATTAATTATTGCATTTGCAAAATTCATGTTTGTAATATTTGATTGACATTATTATTCATTTCAAAGAATATTTCTCTAATTGTTTAATTAATTAACGAAAAAATCACACTTTCTACACAGAAATTATACCTGCCATTAAAAGAATAATCCAATTATACAAATCTGCTTGATCCTGAACTAAGTCTAAATCGTACTACAAATATTGATATTGATTAAATTCTCTAAACATCATAATAGAGTCAATCAATTGCAAAGAATAAATTAACACTGCCAATAACAAATCCAAATCATCTTTAGGCTATACAAACATTTTATTTTTTACAATCCATCACTATTATTCGATACCATTTATATCAAAGAAAATCTCGAGAATTTTTCCATCTACCTTGACCCATGGCACGATATTGTTTATTGCTCGAACAATGCGAGCTGGCAAAGAGTCCACGAAGCGACATTACGTGCCTCGAGTAGCAATCTCTATTGGGTAATCTCGCGTTTGTCCAGGAGTCAGCGGCGCGGACAGAAAACAATAGGGTCATTGGTACCGATCGAATTAGAAGGATCGAGACGCTACGCCTTTGCATTGCACACCGGTATAAATGAATTTTGAAATCAATGGGTCCTTCAGTCGTTGCCTCGCCTTCGAAGAAAGAAATCATCGAAAGGGAACAATCGACTAGGGTTGAAACATCATGAAGATTCTACTTCTTGGATTTTGTCTTTTTTGCGTGAGTAGAAATTTAATTTATTTATTAAAACAAAAATGGAAAAGAGAAAGTGAGAGAAAATCATTTGATTATTTTTTTTTTATTAATTATTAAAATGTTACGTAAATATTGATAATTTGTCTTGATTGATGACACGTATATTTTTTTCACAGAAAGAATTTAAGTATCGAAAGAGATGAAAATTTCTTTAATTAAATTTTGTGTAATTAGTTTGTAATATTTTCATCTTTACTTTAATTTATTTAAAAATTATAGTGATTAACATATTTATAACACATGGAAATTATCTTTGGGATAATAAATTCTCTTATATTCTTAATTATGTATTTTCATAAAATTAGTTTCAAATTTTAATATAATATGACTTTTTCATATAATATCATATAAATAATTAAATAAAGTTTTAAAATTTAATTAAAAAAAGATTTGATTCTTAACCGATTAATGAATTTTTAGCAATCAAAGATAATTTTTTGTTTGTGACAGTGTTAAATAATTTAAAGAATTTCTCTATATGAAATTTTTCAAAAGAATCTTAATTTCTAAATGGTTTCTGAAAAATTTTGAAAATTATTAAATTAAAAAATAGCCCGAAAACGTTAATTTTCTATATCGTAATTGATCGATCAAATTTTGAAAGAAAGAAAAGATAAAAAAAAAACAAACAAAATGTATTTCAGCTCTCTATCTTGAGAGTGGAATCGAAGCCACAAATAACGAAACTGTTCCCGATCCCAGAAGAAACAAGCGATCCTCCACAACGATCTAACAACGATACGAAGCTTCTGGACAAATTATTCGGAAAATTGCGAGCCACGTACAACTTCGTGTTTCGAAAGCCAGAGAACATGAGCAACGTGGAGAAAATTTTGGCCAAGGATACACCTGACCCTGACATCGAGGCGCTGAAAGTAATCTGGTCTAATCGAATGCAATCGAATTCGAAGGAGGATTCGAACAAGTCTCAGCCAAAGGGAATAATGTATTTAGCGGCAAACGACGAATGGATGAATGATATTCAACCTTTGGATCATTTAGAGCCTCTAGAACCATTGGAATTGGAAGACGAAATAGAAAATAATAAGGATCGAGAGGTAGAGATCGTTACACCGAGAACCAGTTTCCAGTTTCCGGCCACACTTAATCGTCATCTCGTTAATTGGCTTGGATCACTTCTGGGAATTACTTATGGGGTCTATTCTAAATTGGCCAGAGCTATTTACAGCAATAATACTGCAATACGTATTAGTTGAAATATATATTTTATATTACTTTGGATTTTTGTTTGTATTAAAAATAATTGAATAAAATGAAAAGTGATGCAGTTCATCCCAGGATCTGAAATATAATAGAAACATGGTAAAACTGCATTTATTTTAATCCAACATTCCATCTGATTAGAGTTTCGTTGATTTTCATCAAATTTTTATGAGTTTTCATTTGTATAATAAAAGTTCATAAATATGATTGAAATAAATGAAGTTTTACAGATAATACAAGTAAATTTTTTCTTTACATTTATTTTATTCAAAAATATCTTGGTCTGAAAAATACATGTGTTACCTCTTATCCATTCATCTTCTCTTTTTTTTTTCTTTTCTTTTTTGGCAATCATCATATTATACATAACAATCGTTCATCGAGTAACACCTTGTCGCGAATCCATTGTTAAAATATTTCAACACCTTCGTCATATCATTTTACGTATTAATTAATGTCCGCGAGAAATGGCCACAAGAATGTGGACATCGATATCTTAAGTTCTACTTAATTAACTTTAATGGAAAGATTAGTACTGTTTACCTTAACCCAGGATAGTGATACAATACTAGAAATGCTTGAAAATTAAAACAATTACAATAATTATTCTTAGAAAAAAATCCATTCAAAATTTTCAAAATATTATATAATTGTTCCTATCCAGGGCGAAGTAAAACAAGAAGTTTAAAGAAGTTGAGGAGGAAAAGACAAAATACTGTTATTCTCACGAATATTTAAAGTCTTTGGTTCTATTACAATGCGGTATGAGTCTTATATCTTTAGTGCCATCCGCAGTCATTCATTTTAATCTTATGTATGCCTAGCAGACATTTCAAAGATGTTAGTCATAATTAAATGTAATCACAAGTTCCAAAATTTATATGGAAATATTTAGAAGCATGTTCCATAGTAAATAGTAAATTGTCAAAAAATAAATTGTACTTTCAAAATTATAAATAAAATAAATGTATATTTAAAATAATTTTACAAATAATAAAAAGAATAATACAACGGATTTGTTTTTTAAAAGTTCTTTTTTACCAAAATTAAGAAATAAATAAAGATCAATTTTATAAATGCTTATGTTTTTGACAATTTACTGTTTTCATTTCAAAATTATCTTTTGAGCAATTTTTGTTTTATTATTTTTATTTAAGAAATTTCTGAGTAAATATAAGAAACTGTACGATAAAAATTTTACTTTATAAATTCGATTTCTATGAAATGAACAGAAGTTTCATTTTTAGTAAAATTCATTCGTGAATAAGTAATGTAATAAAAAATAATGAGAACTTCTTCGAATCTAAAATAAAAAACAAAAAAAAAAAAAGGTCAAAAAAACAGAAGTTTCATTTTTAGTAAAATTCATTCGTGAATAAGTAATGTAATAAAAAATAATGAGAACTTCTTCGAATCTAAAATAAAAACAAAAAAAAAAAAAGGTCAAAAAAACTGTTACTCAAACAATAATATATTTTTTTCGTTCGTTATAAACGAATATTCTTTGGTACGAAGAAAAACAAAAAGATTTTCAAGTCACTTTAAAATATTGAGCAAAGTAATCTTTCTTTCCTCTAATATCACTTCTCAAACTTGTAAAAATTAATACATAATTTGCAATATAAACTACATTACAGAAAAAAATTCTTAAAAAATATAGTTATATTTTTTAATAAAAATTCTTTTTTTTTGTCTTAGAAAATTCATCTAAAAAAATAATAAAAGTAAAAAAAAAAAAAATGATTATAATGGCATTTTTTACTGAAAACATATTATTAAAAGATATCAACTGTATAAAAAATATGTTTGTCCAATTGGAATATGAAAAAAATTGAAAAGAAAAAACAGTAAATTATATTATAGTAAATAATAAATGGTAAATGGCTTAATTAAAATACGAATCTATAGGTATGGTAAATATGAACACGGACGAATCAGAGATCAAGTTTTAAACAACATACCTACTGAGTCTCCATCAGGTAAAATTTGTATAGTACTTATATACAGAATTATTCTACAAATTTTTATAACCATATTTATTGGCAGTATACTATTACTTGTTCGTACTCGCTTTGAAATTATCCTAACGGTAGATTGGCATTTAGCGTATTTTTCAACGCTATCATTGTTTATTATTTTTGTTATACGTACTCCATTCTAGGACACAAACATGCACACTGAACTCAAATTTATGAAAGAAAGACAGAAAAAAAATAAATCTTTCATTACGAACACAATAAAAAAAAAAATCAAGTTCAGTGATCTATGTCAAGTTTATATTTTGTGATCATAGACTAGAATCAATAAACAAACTGTTTCCTTTATAGCTAGTTTAAATAAGATAAACGATGCATGTTCTAATGCAAATTGATTGCTCGTTTTGTTTCAAATTCGTATGTTATTATTTTTTTTTTTTTTTATTTCAATTTATCTAAAGTTATTAGACTCACTCAGGCTTTTTGGCGGATTACTATTAAATGATACTGTTTCATACGAATAATGGAACTTAACTATATATAATGTGTTCAGTAAGAATATGAATATAAGATACTGCTCACTGAATATTAATATTTTTTGAAACGAAAAAAGATAGTTATGTTTTAAATTCATTGAAAATTTAGTTAAAATTTAAGAGCTTAGAACTCAATCATTCAAACATCAATTATTATGAAAATCTACATTATCCATCATTCAATATTGATTAATCAATTGCACCTCAGTCTCTTAGTGCTGTCTTTTTCTTATCCTTTTCTTTTTTCTTGAAAATTTCAATTTAAATTATAGAATAGGTTGCAATTCCTAATATATATTTAATCAATTTTCTATTTTGTGCTAACCACAACGCTTCCATACGAACAGCCTTTATTGCTTTGGATTTAGATGGACTTATTTATGACTAAGATGGCATTAAGTACCTTGCATTCTGAGGCAGAATTTCATTCATGTTGACTGCTTGTTGTTGTAATATATTCGTTTCTTTCAAGGCTTGTTCCTTAAATGAGGAGAATGTATGGATCAGATTCTGATCCTTTTGAAGATTTTGAATATATTGGAGAAAATTAGGCTCTTGTTTCATAAAACCTCCATCTTTCAGCATAAAGCTTACTTCTTGTTTAGGCATTGTAGACACTTCAGAAGCTTTATCGAAAGATTCTTTTTGTTCCATGAAAAAAGAATCTTTCTTTGTTCTATTTCTCCTAATTCCTAAGTGTGTTTGAGTATGTTTATTCAAGTGATCCTTTCTAGAGAAGGCTTTTTGACATACCGAACATGAAAAATTCTTATCGCCAGAATGAATCACGTAATGCCTCGTTAAGTGTTCGTTTCTTTTAAACGCTTTTTGACATACTGGACACTTAAATGGTCTTTCGTCCGAATGACCGCGCATATGTTGATCGAGATGCTCCTTTCGTTTTAACATTGCACCACATTCTTTACATTGATATTTGCGTTCCTATAAGATAAAAAGTTCATATTTATTTAATACATGTATAATATATTTATATAAACAATACATACTTGTATATGAGCTTGTATATGTTGTTCAATTTCTGTCTTATCCGGAAATGCTAAATTACATTCTGGACAACAATAAAGTGTCGAACCATCTAAGGCGACGCTGATTTTGATTTCTCCGGTTTTCGCTCGAAATTTCATTTTTTTCTCGGTCTTTGGCGAATCTGTTTGTATCTGTTGTTCTACTTTAATACTTTGCACTGTATTCTCGTTTTCTTGTTGATTTTCCATTTGAACATTTAGATCATTCGGATTTATAGATACCAGCATTTGATCTGAATTCATAAAAGTATTATTCCCATTTTGTAAATGAGTATTTCTAAATACTGGAACACTGGGAATGTTAAGAATATTGTTTTGTGTGTGCTCCACTTTCTCCTCTTCAGTCTTTTCTTTTTTCACCTGTTCTGTTTGTAATTTAATTAATTGTTGTAATGTTAATGGAAGTGTAGTAGCTTGTAATTTTTGAAAATATTCTGCCATGGCACTTTGTTGTTGAAGTTGTGAATCTTGCTGAAATATTAACTTTTTATTACATAAAAATACATAGATATATTATAATAATATTTATATATTATATTATAATAATTCATATATATATACAATTAGTTGGAATAAAAAAGTCTATACCATTGCAGATATTTGTTTTTCATTTTCATTTCTTGTTTCCAACTCTTGTTTTATAATTTCTGATTGTGAAGTTGATGGTAAATACATATTAGGTATAATTCTTACAGGTAAACTATTTGTCTGAACACTAAGTATTGGATTACTCTGATTGTAATTAGGAATGTTAATGGCTTGAATGCCTTGCTTTTCACAGAATTGCATCAAAGTATTTGGATCTGGCCATGCTAATATTGGCCCCGTATATTTATTCGCTGAATTTACCTTAAAGAAAATAGATACATTAAGTACATTATAAACGTATTATAAATAAAGATAAAATAATAATAAATTTTACCAATAAACTTGGTTTTGTTTGATTCGATACAGCAGCAGTTGTATAAACAGTTGTTTGTTCTACTTGAGTATTATCACTACTAGTAAATTTTGACGTGGAAACTGTGCTTGAACGAGACGTTAACTCCGAAAATTGTGGGAGTGCACCGTGGACTGTGTTATTTCCGGAAAAATTCATTTTACCACAGATAAACGCGAAAGGTACGCGCGTTTGCGATTAAAGCATGCGAGCGTTTATAACCTATAATATCTCTTACAAACAACGAATGAATAATATAGCTATTTCTACCTTTTTAGTTTCATATTTCTCACAATATATGAAATGTAGAAATGTAGACTAATATCGAAACAAAACATCGATAAAAAAAAAACACAAGATTAATTAAATTAAAAAATATTTGTCAAGCGACGGTACATTGTAACGTACGCCGCGTCCTATGCGTTGTTCCAACATGGCTACATTAAAGTACTATTTCCAAAATTCCATTTTTATTTGTTCTCCGAATAAATATAATTGATTTTTGAAAATATATAAAACATATTCTTTCTTATATATTTTAAGAAAATATATATGTTTTGATAAATTAATAAATAATTTTTATTTAATTAAGAACAAATTTCTAAAGAAAAAATAATTTTTGTTATGATGGCTAGCCTGGATTATTTTCTGTTTACACTGGACGCTTGATAAACTTCAATTGATAAAATAAAAATAAATATCTTGGGATATTTTAAAACTAAAATATAAACATAGTACTGATAATCTAGAAAAGCTAAAGATGTAAGGAAAGATAGTTAATAATTTTAAAATGAACTTAAATGTATATAATTAAAAACTTTTAATAACGTTATTCGATTTATTGGTTTATTATAGTACAAAGAGATATTTTATCAAATATAAGTAAAATCTTAAAAAATAATCCTCATTTTATTTGTCTTTGGATATATCGATTACAAATTTTCCTTTTAATTAATAGGTAATATTTCCTAAACATGTAATCATATGGGTGAAAGTTTAAACGAACGAATAGATAATTTACGTAAACGAAGTAGATTTTTATTAGCAGAAGTAGATAAGAATTCTAATAAAGTTAAAAATGAAATTAAAAAATTAAATTCCCAAAATTTGTGAGTATTGCTATATTTCATATTTATTACTAATATATTTATATTATACTAATATATTTATTAACTTATATATAATTTCAATACATTTTTTATAGAATATGCAGAGAAGATTGTAAAAATCATGTTGGCAAAATAAATTCACAAAACTTATGCTACAAGAGAAATAATAAGTCATGGAAATTAAGAAATGATTCTAGTGGAGTGAATGGAGCTTTGCATTTAGACTATTTCCGTAATACCTCTAATCAAACGCTTACATCAATGCCCAACACAACGAATGCCTCAACAACAAAGAAAACATTAATATCTTCAAAAAAACATTCTGACAATCAACACTGTTTGGATATTCGCAGAAAACCAGTAAAAGGATGTTATTGCTCTGAATTAAAAAAATTACAACAAAAATCAATAAAAACACAAAGTAAATCATGTTATTGTAAAAAATGTAAAAGTCATATTCTTCCTGCTATAGTAATAGAAGATAATTATGAAAAATCAACTATATCTACACCCATTAGTTGTGAAACATTGAGAAGAGTTCAAAAGATAGATTATGTACCCAAATCTCAATTTTTACGTAATGTCAGAAGCAAAATTTCTCTCCTGCAATCAGCAGCAGGAGATTGTCCACAGATCTGTTCTAAATCGCAGTGTTATCATAAACTTATGACCAAAAAAGATATATGTAGTATTCCAGACACTTATAAATCCATAGAGGAATTGAAAACAGATGAAATTATTCCTGATTTAACAAAAACAAAAGTCAGTGAAAAATATTCAAGTTCTGAAACTGAAAGTATAGAAAAAAGTGATAAAGGAATTCAGGTATCTTTAAAAAAAAAATCAAAGATTCTTTCTTCAACATCTATACCTTATATACCTAGTATATCTGATATGAAAAAAATACAAGATGACAAAATAGATCAATATCAGGAAGAAAAGCCAAAAGTTTGCAAAAATGATTTAGAAAAGAAGGATAATGCTGATTCAGAAAAATATCAAAACACAGTCTGTGTAAAGAAATCAGTAGATGAAATTGAACAAAAACATCCTTCTGATAAAGAAATGAAAGATTTAAATAAATTTCGTGAAAAAAATTACTTTGACACACACGGATCTAATGATATTTTAGTATCATCTAAATCTTCTGGTTCCTTGGAACAATATTTCTTAAATGACAGATTATTCCCTGAACGATCAAGAACTATTCATAAGAAAGATTTGGTTGTAACAATGCCACCTTGCGCTACTACGCAACTAAAACGAATACATTATTTCCCTAGATATATTGTTCATCAAGAAAAGAGTAATTGTAATACAATTGGTAAAAAGAAACGTTGCCAAACCTGTCCTTTGACTGGCCATGCCATAGATCTTGGTATTACAAAAATAAAAGTACCTTTGAACAGTTTAGCCCTTAAGTTTCAAAAACGATTGCCTTAAACAAAAAACTATTTTATTGCAATAAATAAAACTAGGAAAAAATAAAGTAAATAAAAATCTAATAATTTAATTATATCTTTCTTTTTTTTAACATCAATACAGAATTTTAGAAAATCTATTCCATTTACTTTATTCCAAATCTTTAATTTTGTACATATTTTTGAATATAAATTGTAATAATTAAATCAACCTCACATATTTTTACTCAAAGCATAGTAAGCTGTGATTGAGAATTATTAATCACGTGATTATTGAGATTATTAATGTCTTGTAGAATGTATTTTACAATTAAGTTTCATGTAAAACTCTCGATATCTGACATGACATTTGATAACGTGATTTAAACAAATATTTGGAATTGTTGTATCTTTTTTACTTTCATAAAAAGAAAATAAATAGTGATATATAATGTAGTATATCTTATAGTGTGTGTTATCTTATATGCACGAGTAGAAATCATTGTTGGATCCGATAATTCCCGTAATCTTAATAAGTCGACAATCTCTATTGAATTCAAATTCGTCAAATGAAAATTTCCTTTGAATAAAATATATGAAATTGTGATTATTGCAATTTTGAATATTATTCAGCAATTATTAATATTATTAAGTAATTATTTGATAAGTTTTTTTTTTCAACAATGATGTAGAAAATATTATTATACAATGTTTATCATTAATTTTTATAAATATTTATTTGTAATATTATTATGATTCTATTCTTTGAATAAAATATATTTTATTTAATGATTTATATAATTTTTGATTTTAAATATATTATATTAATTGTATGATTTATATATATAATCAATATAAATAATTGATGTAAAAACAAATTTTTTTTATTAAATTCAGATGGAATAATAAAAATTATGAAGCTATAAATAAATTTGGTAAAATATGAATACATAATGATTGGTTCATATATTTTCACTGTTCCTCATTCTTTTTTTCATTAAATTCAATAAAAAAAAATTCATTATAATATTAAAATTAATTAAAAGTGAACGTATCTCTATCTCATAAAGATTTTATAAATGGATGAAATTTCTTCGATTAATTATGATAATTATGAATTTTAAAAAATAAAGAGAAAGGATATATCATAAGACTTAAATTATGATGAAAGCAAACTGTTAACATTGTAAAATTAAAACAAACTGTTCAATTTGTTAATTAAAAAATGAGTAAAAAGAATCGAATCATTAATCTTAACTTTTATCGATAAAAAAAACTAGTAATTTTCTATATTTTAAATAGAACAATATATTGAAATTGTTCGAAATATTATAAAATAATTCGAACAATATCTAAACATTAATGTTTTTTTATAAATTATATGATACAATTTTAATCTATAACAATAATAATAAAAAAATTGTTTTATTAATAAAATATTCTTAAAATTGTTCAATTTGAGACTATTTAAAAACTTGAATCGAATATAATGCTTTTAAATTTATAATTAAATATAATGGCACGTTAAATTATAATAGAGAATTTCGACCACGGTATGAATAATTAAATATTCGTTCGTAAAATAATGAATTTGCAATCATTGATTTAAATGTCGATTTCAACAAGAGATTAGCGCGGAAGGAATGCCTTTCACACATAAAATGTAATTTTACATTTTCTCAAAGAATAAAAAGTTAAAAAATAATTAGACGCTTATCTTAAGAATTTATTGAATTTAAAGTTTCAAAAGTTTGTAGTATAATGATTTTTAAAAAAAATAATTTTAACCAAAGATAATTCTATATACAAAAAAAAGCAAAATTAAGAAAAAATCAAATTATTATATTATTGATAATCGTTCCATAAAATTAACAATGAATTGATAATTTTCAGTTAAACAAAAAATAAAAATAAAAGTAATTTATCATTTTATAATTGTTTTTTCTTATTTTTAGATAGATTATAAGAAACAATGCATATTATTGCATAAATGAAAAATAAAATGTATTCATTCGTATTCATTTCCTCGTATTCAACACGATATATGCTTTCAACCAACGCTTCATCTGCTTGGAAAATAAAAAAATGAAACGAGAAGTACACTTAGAACTGGTTACCCTTGGTTGGATTATTAAACTATTATTTTTCTATCTACATTCTTATTTTTCTTTCTCACATATATTTTATTGATAATTTATTAATTGTTCATTTAAAAAAATGGAATAAAAATAAAATAAAATTTAAATTTTATACTATAGAGTGCTATTTTAATATCATCTAATAAATATTAATTTTTTCATAAATTATTGATTCATTTCCACTTTTATTTACTCATGACTTTGTAAGTAAATATTTACATTAAATTCTTGATGAAAGTTCAAGGAGGTCCATTGAGATGATGGTGATGAGATCGAAGAAGGGAATGAACGAAATAAATAGAATAAATTCTTCTTAATAGGCATATAAATAAAGAAATAAATTAAGCGTTTCAAGAAAAAATACTAAATTAATAAAAAGATAATAATTTATCTTGTTCCAACTAAAGAAAAAATTAAATTAAATAATATTCATCTTTTCTCAGAATTCTTTTACTTCCTTATGCAAAAACTTGTTGATATTACAAAAATATATAGACATTCTAATTTGTTAATAAAATCTTATCTAACGTTCTTATGAAACGTAATTGTACTTTGAACTCGATTCAATAAATTGTAAATTATAAGTAAAAAAATCAAATTTTCTATCATTATTCCAGTTTTTCTTTTTTTTTTTTTTTTATTCTTAACATCTTCATTTTCAAATCAAAAAAAATTTCATATTTATCTACTTAATTAATTAAAAAGTATGACTTTTTATTCGATATTTAAAAATTGTAAATTAAGAACATGTATTTATAATTAAGAACATAATGTAAGTTAAGAACATCAACTATGACATTTTAAAATAAAAATTGCTAAAAGGACAATATTCATGTAAAAACAGATGAGACGATATTGCATTTCAAATAATGTAAACCAATTATCCTATTTATAATTTCAAATGAATTACGTCGAATTACGTCACTGATGTGATATGTGATTTTTCATTACGATTTATCCATTATTATTTTTGTTTATTCATACATCGATCGTAAAATTATCAATAGCTTACATGCTATTACACTTTTATTTTTTTATTTCTCATTTATTTTTCTTTTATTCAATTATTATTATTTTGTTTGATTTTATTATTTATATCGATCTATAGTAAAATCATATTTTATTTATGATGGAAACTGTTCAAAGTGATCGTAAACGGTATGAACAAAATTTAAAAAAAATACAATCGAGAAAAGTTATTATAATAAATTGGTAAATTACAAATTATATTTAAATTTTTTGATTGTATGCAATTTTGTCATTATTTAAATAATTCATAGAGTATATTATTAAACATCCTTCAGAATCTTATGATTCAGTATTATTAATTATCAATATTAATTAATGACACATTAATTTTTTCAACATGTTTTTTGCTTTTGCATATATAATGTATTAAACACTGTTGAAATTCAATTAAAACTTCTGACGTATTGTGTTAACGTATTATAAAACATATCGTTTTATAATATAGAATATAAATAAAATTAAGAGATTCAACGAGAGAAAAGATCGGTTTAATGCAAATGATTAATCAACATCTCTTTGCAAACGCGAAGAATATGAGAATCTATTAATATATGATGATAGTATTTGGATGATATTCAAATTTTAAAAATTCACAATTTCAATAGATAAAAAAAAATTATATATTCCATAGAATATTTTTAAACATTTTCATTTTTCAAAATATCTTTCTTTCGATACAATTATCAATGATAATCTGATCATTTATAATGAAAGAAAATAAAAAAGTATATTATACGACAAGTATTTCTGAATTCTAAATATTTAATGTATCGTATTTTATTCAAAGTCGGCAAAATGATTTTGAGATCAATGAACCTTGAAGCAATTTTTTATGATTTTGAACGCTTAATCTTCAGGCATTCCTAATCTCATCTTCGAGAAAGCCATGGTAATATTTATATGGTAATATTTATCTTATGTCAATGTCATGTGTCGTTCAACTGTTCAATGCTAGATCGTTTAATCATGAAGAAGAAGATCTCACAATGAAGATAATAGGTTTCGTTTCGCGCCAAAAATCGAAGAATCGAACGATCTTCGGTTGGCTCTATGTTAATGTATAAAAATGTAGATTTAGATCTTGGCTGACAATTTCATTTGAGTCAATGTCATTTGAATTTTAACTGAATCGAGACAAGAACGACCATATAAGAAGATGAGGAGATTAATTCTTAACGATATATTATGAAGTATTTAAATTATAATTTATGAATAGAAGAACGATTTTATGCGATGAAGAAATGATGATTTCTTACATTACAATGATTTTAGAATGGAAAAACAAGTTTTAATAGTATAAGGAATAATTTTCAACTTGTAAGAATAATTATGGAATGAAGGATAAAGAAAAGATACTGTAAATTTGCGAATAAATTGATTTTAAGTAATAAAAAAAAATGATTTTAAATGCTAAAAAGTTTATTTTGAAATAATAATTTCAAATTGAAATGATTTTATGCGATGAAGAAACACTTTGGAATATTTATATAAAAGAATAATTTTACATGAACAATAAGAAAGTAAAAATTTGTATGTGAAATTTTAAATTTTAGATAAATGAATATAGAATTTGCTAATGAAAGAATAATTTTAATAAAATTTTAATAAAAACACAATATGTAACATGTGATATGTAGAAGGATGATTTTACACAATGAAAAAGTAATTTATGCTCTGTAATTAGTAAATTTTGAAGAGTGATCCTACGTGACAAAAAGCACGCTGCATTAGGGGAACAAAAATTAAAATTCTATTAAACTTAACCTATCAAACTATTGAAACGAGATCCTACTGCTAATGATATTATCTTTCCAATGAAGTATCTCATTATGGATTTTTACATATATCTCCTTCTTAATGTATCTTGTCGATGAAAATAACTTTTAAATATACTTTTGGCTGTCAAATTTTTTGAATAATTTTAAAAAAAACATTTATTTACACTGGATTTAAATAATTGTATAATTGTATAATTAATTAAAATACTATAATTAATCTAATTCAAGAATTAACATTTCACAATATTTTTTAACAAATTTCTATGTTTTATGTAAATACAATTGTATGATATTATTTTTTTTTTTATTCGATGCAAATTTAAATTTAAAAACATCATTAACGACGTTATATGTTTGTCTAAATCTTCTTGTTTGTTCTCTTAAATGATTCACTTCGAATGATTATACGTTTAGACCACTTTGAGATTTTCTTTCAGATTTTTTATTTAAAATTCCGATGCAAGAAAAAACTTTTATTTCATTTTATTATTTTGTTCAATTTAAATTCTGTGAA